AGCTAGTTATTTTATAACAAAATCTCATTTTCAAAAGCTGTAATTTAATGCAATCAATCAATACCAACTATGAAACTATATGTAATATGCATGCTTATGTCTATTTTATATATATGTGCATTTATATCTATAATATATATAAAGACAATAATAAATTATTAGAAAATAATATTATACCTCTCCTGCAAGAGTTAACATTTATGCCTTGTCATTCATAATTTGAACAAAATTACAATGGATAAGAATGATAAATAACTGTTATCTCTAAACCTCTGACATGTGAATTATTTAATTAATTGTTCCCATTTTATGTTACAACACTAAGCATATTGAAATAGGCCCATACATATTTCAATAGGTGTATGTTTTAAATTTAGGGCTACATCTTCATCAGACTAAATCAGAGAATAGATAATTAATATTTAACTTCTATTAAAGCATCTTAAAATGTATGGTCGTAACCACTACCTTTCATTTAAGACAGCCACATGAATATATATTTGTAAATTTCCTCTTAATTTTCAAGCAAATGAAACAAGAATACAACTTCGGAGGGCACATAAATGGCAAAAATCAAAAGAATCTAGAGTTTAGCAACCCAGAGAATGCATGTTGCAGAATTAATATCCTGATCAGAGAGTTGAGGGGAAAAAGAGAGAACCTCAGATGAACTAGAAAAAATCTACAGAGGTTTATATACAGGGCATATCTAAAAACTGTTGTGGATTTCCAGTTTAAGCTTAGTGGGAAGAAAGGAAAAAAAAGCTAAAAATATTCCTTGGACCTATGGTATTTGCCATAGAAATTGAATCTTGCTTTGGAGCAAGAAGCAGCTGTTACTGAGAAATATGGAAATAATTTACCATAAGAGGCAAAGATGTGAAGAAAATAGATTCTAATCTGGTTCATAATATTATTGAATTATTATTTTAAAAGTCAGAAAAACAAAATAAATGAGCAAACTTTCAAGGTATCAGAGATAAATGCTGACACTATGGGAAAAAAAACCAGAAGATCACTTAGTTAACTAGAAAGCCAGAGTGCAGAGTCTCAGGTGTTCCATGAAACCCACATTCCAGCTCAGAGGGAGTCTGGCTTAAAGAAGAGAAAAGAAAGTCACAGAGATGAAGAGTGAAAAAGCTGTTTACACTTAAATATAAAACATATCAGAAATGCTGAAGAGCCTAAAAAGTCTGGAATCAAAACCGGAATCCCATAATTAGCTATTCCTATTTAGGAATTGTGCCTACTTAACCCAGATTTCTAATCTGTCTTTGAAAAGTGAACTAGAGAAGCTCAGGTAGCCAAAATAAAAAGGATGAGCTAATCAGGGGCTTAATTTTCATTATTGACAAGAAGTATATTTCATCCCAGGAAAAGGACTTTAACTTTCTGTGTCTTAGACACTAGACAAAAAAAAAAAAAAAGATATCCACAGAAATAAAGCCTTACTCAATGGCAATATTTTTGCCAGCACTAGTATTCAGTTAGAAAAAGTCATTTGGGGGAATAATTAACTTTAAACCCTCCTCTCCCCAAAACAGAGATTTTCAGTATGTTATTTAAAGTCTACAGGCCAAATTGTCTATCAATTAACTCTGACTTCAGAGAATCAGCAAAAATGCAGCTGCAAACAGTAGAGCTTTGCTAGAATGAAAATGTCTTTCCAACTATGTAGTTTTGAAAAAGCCTAACATTTCAAGGTCCCATGCTTGAGAAAAGGCAAGGATTAACTGCATTTCCACTACTAACCAGTCTACACTACTTTGATGCTTAAATAATTGCTAAAACTAACTTACATCACTGAGATTCAACTACAGTTAAATGAATAAGGACCTATATATGCATAATATATATTTTTACACATTTTTATTCTAATGACTTTGCGATCCATTTTGTCTTACATATGAACAGCTTTTCTGTTCAAGAGAAAAAAAATACTCAACAAACCAAAACAGCAATACTTGCTTAATATTTCTGTTTCTAAGTAGCCCTGTAATTTTTGCTTCCACACAACTTTTTCTTGACCATTTTCAGAAATTTAATCTAGGTCATCACTTCATGTCTGAGCCTTCCTGTATCATACATAGCTTGCCTGAAAACCTTTGGTTTTTATTCAGTTCCAGATTATATCCTTTTATTTGTATGTTCCTTTTGATGTTTCATCTCAGCTCTCTGTATATATTAAAATAAAAGCCAATGCACATATGAATTTGAATGCCATACTAAAATGAGTATAGAAGATGCAGAAGAACAGAGATTAAAACTGCATGTGCAAGAGATGAGACTGGAAAGAGATGGGACTGTTCAGTGGGACAGTTCAATGTGTGAAAGATGCTCAGAATTTTGGATGATTACCTAAATTTTATCCTGAAAACATTTAGATCTCATTTTCAGAAAGAGCTGAAGCTCAGCAAGACTCCTAATGGTATTATCACTTCCTAATTCCCTCAAAAAATTTAGAGCTGTGTTACAATTAAACTGTGGGTGACTGTGAACTGTGGGTTCAAATGAGTAATTTTCATTTGGGATGTCTACAGAAATTTAATTAGATGGTCACACTAGTGATCACTCAAAGGCTTAACTAGTATCTTATGAAGTAAAGCTGATGCCCACTAAGAAACTCTGTTAAGATAGTATTGGGAGAGGAAGCTTAAAATAGCAAAAAAGCAGAGCAACTTATTTATAAAGGGTATCCACCTTTGTTAGATTTCTGAAAATAATGGTAGGAATTAATAAAGACCATCAAGAAAAAACGTATGACAAGGTTGAGTGACATTCCACATTTGGGTGGCTAAAGAACAAATCTGTAAGGAAAACAAAGTGATTGCCTGGAGTGCAAAGATCCTGTCAACATGAAAACAAGTTAAACAAACAATTTTATTCTTTTAATTCATATTGAAGACTGTATCACTGTGATGTAACTGAACTCTTTAAAACTCAAATCAGTCAATCTCTGTAGCACTTTGTAGAAGAGCAAGAAGCAGAAAATAGAAACTTGACAGCTCAATGTACCTTTGCCCTGACATTAACTTGTCAACACTTATAACCCCAGAAGAAGAAATCAGAGAAGAGACAATATATAAATTATTCTTAATAGCAGTGACAGCTGCTGTCCTTTTCCTCTCAATACATGCAAAACTCACTAGCTCAGTTTCATTATTATTTTTATTGCTGTTATTATTATTATCATTATTATTATTATTATTACCGCTACTATTATAACCACCTTTTAAAAAATGTCTCCTTATTTTAATCTTTGAGAGACAGATAAAACTGCTGTAAATCCAAAACAAAAACAACTACTGTTTTGAACCTTTCATTCTACCACCAGCAGGAAAACAAAAATCTTCTCATTAGCAAAACTGGCTGGGAATGGAAGCGAAATCCCACTCTACTGGGTTCCAGAGCTTCCCAGAACTGGGATCACAGCTGCATAGAAATGACATGCAGTGCACTGAAATGACACTCCAAGCCTTCTGGACTGTGGAAACTTCAGAAGAACCTTAAAAACAAAGATAAACAACTCCACTATTCAAGGCAGGAGCAACGCTGCTTTACAGCTCCATTTCAGAAGTGATGTCCTTCCCAGGCACTGCTCACTGGAAGAGACAGAAACAAATTAAACTGTTCTTTGTTCCCTTTTCAGAACTCATCAAACACTGAAGAAATGTAAAAAGTTCCCTTATGCTGATAAAATCTTTCTGTAACCCTTGATGAATTCTGCTATGTTGAAAAGTCAGGAGTTAACCAGAAAACCCCACAAGCACTGCTTGGCCTGCTAGGGGATGAATGAAGGCTGGAGCTGAGGGTCTTACTGTCCCACAGGTCTTTCAGCACTGTAGGCTGAAGCCCAAAAAGCAAGAAAATTGATCAATTCCCAAAAGAGACTAGGGCCTTTCAAATCTTCCAGGACCTTATAAATCGTCTGGGAGCTCGGTAAAACCTGAAATATTTGCTTAATTTCTCTCCCTGAAGGATTGCTCTTGTGGGTGTGAAGGTTTGGGGCACTTCAGACTGCCTTGTGGATTTGTTTTCATTTTGGTGAGTTGCTGCTGTGAGCAAAAGATTCAAAGTTTGTCCAGTGGTATATGTAAAAGGGTCTTCCTTTGAATAACAGAAAAAACATAATGAATTAGACTATTATAGTTTTATAGGTGAAAAGAGCTAAAGCAATTGAAGGAGAGGGAATCTAGGCACATTAAACAGCAGTATCGCTTGGAAGCAGGACCAGCATTTTACAATGTCTAAACAATTTGTTGAGGAGGCTGGTAAAAACTTGAAAAGAGACAAATTTGGAAGGATAATTAGAGAGGATCAAGATGAAATACTAGCTGTCAGGAAGCAGAAAGTACTTTAAACTAGTGCTAGCAGATGCCTCAAGTATTACTCTGCACAGACAAAAGGAAAATGTGTGTGGAGATAACCCCAACTTATGAGAATAAGGGATAGAGTGATAGGGAATATGAAATACAGTGATTATTGATGCAGTTCTTTTCTTCTCTCTTTGCAAAAGACAGAAATGAAAGCTGTATGAGTCTTTGCAGGTAAAAGGTTATGTAATTATCCAAACATACCTGAATTCCTAGTCTAGGAAATGCAATAAATCTAGGAATTGTCATTTGGTTTTCAGTGGGAGGACAATGTATTTCCTTAGTGGTAGTTAGTTTCTTAGTGACTGTTTCCCCCTCTGCACCCTGTACCTTTCAATTAAATCCCAGCAGTGTTAAGAAAATGGAGGTAAAATGAAACAGCAGTCATTCAGTGGCTAGAAATAATATGCTTGCCTTTATCTACACACACTGAATGGGCAAAAATATATGATAAAGGCTCTTACATCCACATAGGCATCATATTGTTCTCATAGCACGGGACAAACAGAAGGCAGTGTGACCTGTTGCACTGCAGAGATGGCCAAACCAGGTGGATCTGAGGTCACACACAGCAGACAGCTTTGCTGTCTGGAACTGCCCCTATTTCAGTCTCCTACACCAACTCACCATTTTCTGTAATCCACATGTAATGCTTCTTTCTGTCTCTTTCATTCTTTCAGAGGTAAGAGGTTATCTGAAAGAATATATGGGGGAAAATAGCAAACACTAACATCTACATTCCTAATGGTCACAATATTCTGAAGGGGAGTATTGGTGAATTCCTTTTATTGCTTACTTCCAAACAATAGGAAGCAATCCAGTAGGAAATATTTGACAGGACAATGAAGAAAACAAATACACAAAAATTCTTGATATAGGATCAGGCAAATGAAAAGATGCAAATATATGTGATTCATTTTCCAGGGCAAAATACTTCTATATGATGTCTGGTATAATTAAGACTCTGAAAACTTTTAATACTTTATACACTTTATGCATTTTCAGCTAACCAGAACTGTTTCTTTATTGGCTATTTTATGTGAGTGCTGAATAGCAGTCCCTTTTTGTAGCTTTTTTTCCCCTACAGCAACTACTGAAGTCTTCATTTACACTGCACAAATTATCCTTAGCAGCAGGTAGGAAGCAATCAGCAAGGTGTAGCTGGCAATAGGTCTATTTTCATTACAAGATGGAGAGAGCCAAGGGACATGACATTTGTCCAACATAGTCAGGGAGGACTCTATTAGGAAAATCAGCTCTGGAGAATTGTAGTCTTGCTGAGGAGAAATTGAAAGGGAGAATGTGGGAAAGAGTACGGTTGTTTTGTTTGGTTTTTTCTTACTTTTTCTCATTAAGGGAAGAAAAGACACAAGTAAGAAATAATTCAAATCCTTTAAAAACTTCCTACAGTGCCATAAAATGCATATAATTCTCCTGCTCTTGAGTACGCTGGGCATTTCAGAGTACATTTGTGAAATGATTTCAAGGTGACTCATTAGTGGAACTGTTAGCAACAAATTTGGAGGAGGAGAGCATGAGGATTTTGGAGATAAAAGAGAGTCATAGCTAATGCATTTATATTACACTGGATAAATTTTTTCAAACAATAGTAGAATAAAACAAAGGTGGGAGGGAAATGGGCAAAATAATAATGACTTAATTTTACATACCTAACTGAGATACACCAATTGAGAAACCAAATGTCCTAGAGTGTCCCTTGAAGGTGATTTCAGTCCCCCAAAGTTCTTAATTATCTTTTGAAGGCGACTATTCTTTCTTGAACTACAGTGGCAGGAATTTTCCCCATTATACATTATTATTTCTGGTTTCAGTTCTCCTTTGAGTATTCTCTTTGTTGCCTCCCTCCAGTAAGCAGGAACGTTGTATGCTTTTAAGTATTTACTGAATGTTTTACAAGGAAATATTTTTTCTAGAACTGTAAATACAAAGAACTCCTCTAAGCAAATGAATGCCCAGCAGGCTGTATTTTCTTTCCTTTTTAAATAATACATTTTTTTGCTACTGGCCTTGGAACTGAACTTCCTCCTATACCATAACAGAGGAATAATTGTATCTTGTTAAGTTCCAGAGTAATAGGTTTTTTTCATACATAGTCAAGGAAAATTCCTAATATAGTGAAAACTGTAAACTCAGGCCTGAATAAAGGCTACAGTCTTTAGCTAAAATTATTAAATATAGAGGCATCTCGATAAATTCTTACATAACTCTACCTTAAATGTTATCTTCTTTAAAACATTAGCATTTGCATTTGTTTACCTGAATAAAAACCCCAGAACACAGATGAAATTATGCCTTTGTCAGAGATGGTAAAATGAAATACCACACTGCTTGCTCCAGAAGTCTGTTGCACAGCAGGACACTGAATCCTTCTCTTCTGAGTCCTAGGTTAGCACTTGAACAACAGGAGAAACCCATCTCCATCTTCAGGGGATTATACCTATAACTGAAAATGGAAGGGAAAACATACCAGTTCTCATCTCTTTACTCATCTTTCACCTCTCAGAGCATGAGGAAAAGGACACTGTTAAGCTTTCTCAAGGAAATTGTCTCCTGTGATTCTTTTCGTGGGATATAGAATCCCACGTCTTTCCCAAGTACCTAACAGTTAACTGAGACATATGAAACTAATGAACATTGGACGGGCAAGTTAAAATGTAGTAAAAAAAATTTCTAAGGATTTTAATCTAATTTAAAGTCTAAAGGCAAGGATCTTAAACGAATGCATAAAATATTAACATTGCTTCAGAAAACTCAAATGGATTTCTTCTCCTCACAGAAGACACGTAGTAAACCTACAAGCTCCATAGAGTAAGAGACATGGAGAATGCTGTAAAGCTGGGTAGGGGAAGAGGGAAGAAAACAGAGAAGAATAGAGCCAATGCCTGTCTTAACTTCATGGAAAATCTCCAAGTTGCTCTGAAATGATAGTTCACTCTTGATTTTAGAAAACTATTCTCAGATCAATATCTTTTATTGTTGGGTATTGGATAGCACACCTTGTAGAGAGAGAATACTCTTTAAATTATTTCAAATGCCTCTAACACCAACTGCACATGGCAAAAATTCATGCTCTTCAGTATTGGACAATTAAAACTCAAAAAATGAAACAGGCCTCAGTCTCACTGTCTCCATGTGAATTCTGAGCAACTGAAAGAACTCAAGTTCTTGTTTCACTTTTTTTTAGTTGCTCGTTTATCCACATATTTTCCTTTAATTTTCATGCATCACAATTAATGTCAGTCCCTAAAGCTTTGCATGGTGTTCTTAAGAATAACCAAGTATCACTCATCTCACTTTGCAAAGAATATTAAACAGGCATGGTGCACTACTAACCCTTGATCCTCAGTCTGCTCCTATCTCCAGACTATACTCTCTCTTTATGGCTCTATGCAGATACTTCATCAGATCACATTGTTACAGAATAAAGCCCCACGCTATAAATGTACACCAAAACATTCCTTTGCATGTTCCCATAAAAATAATTGGCATTTTACAGACTAAATTTGTCAAATCTAGAAATCTCAACCAAAATCCTTGCAAATAAAGATATTAAGCATGGTTACTTTGAAATTAGGCGACTTTCAAAATTGCTGCAGTCAGACAAAGATCGTGTTAGGAAACTTCAGCAACTTCATTCACTGAAGAATATTTTTTCTGATCTGGAATCTCCAGCCCAACCTCAAATACCCATTAATACAAGCTATGTGTTCTCTTGTGAGCTCTCTTTGTCACACAAAACAAGGAACATGTAAGAAAACAGTGTAAAGAAAAAAACTTGTTGAGCTGAACACTGAACTTTTCAGTTAATAATTTTTTTACAGCATTATATTAACTTAATTCTATGAAATAAACTCATTGCAGAAAACATAACTACAGCTAAGCCTCTTAACTTGAATTTCTATTTAATTTCCAGGAGAAAAGAATTTTGTTCTCACTCCTTGTCAACTGACTCAGGTTTAAAGCTTCTTTATATACTTGAGTTGGTGCATATATTTGAGTTGTTGTGATGTACATCTCTACTGCACTACAATATACCCTTTGTTGTGCCAGTTTAAATATCATCCATACATGAAAGGCAGTGAAATTCCATCAGCCAGTTTTTTCTGAAAGCAAGCAGTGTTGGAACAAAATCAAACCCATCCGCTCCTCTCTAGCTTTCTAAAACTTTCTCAATTGCTGGGATATGGGAGAGAAATGCAATTAAAACAATTCGCTAAGTGCTTTATTTGCCACCTGCCATTCATTGAATACCTGCTGATAAAAGTGAGTTTTTTTTACTTGCAGATTTGTCCTGATAGACGGGAATTATGAAAGTTCACGAGTGCTCTGGGAGCCACATGAGGATAAATTTAGATTTAATCAAATCAAATCAGGTTTGGCAATAAAGATGTAAAAAGTTAATTACTTTCAGCTTGCCCCAAGTTGTTTACCAGAACCAGGACAGCTTCTGAAGGCAGTTTTGTTTAAAAACTGTAGAAAACTTTGTGCTGTTCAATTCGTCTGTTACTCTGTTAGCTATACAATTCACAAGCTGTTACAATTGTCAAAAGGTATTTTATCCAAAACTTATCATGTGTTCAGAGGTGCTTACATAATGTTATTTTAACGAAACCTTTTAGCTGTCACTTTTTATGCTATAATATACTTGTGACATTAACTATTCCTATCCTTATATCAACACACTCACTGGTCAATTTCAGTGAAGGTGTGTGTCTATATTAGTGTTTTATATTAGATCTTCCCTGCACTTCTAGGGTGAATGTCCCATCTGTTTCTCTTTGCTGTGAGATCTGCTTGTGAAGAATCAGCTGGTGCAATAGTGAGGTGATATGAATGTGCAAACTCAAGGTAGCTGGGAATGCAAGATTTGAACAGTGAGTCCAGCTGTAATTGTTAGTACCAGTAGTTAAATTTTGCATATTCTCTTTCTTTTACATTATATCTTTTTCCTCCTTGCTGTTTGCCTCTTAATGTAACTGCAGAGAAAAAAAATATGTACTCAAAATGTGAGCATTTTTCTTTTAATTAGAGAGCTTTTATAACTAATTCTCACACTTTACTAAAATGCACCTCATCCTACAGATTAAAGATGTTGGAAGAGCTGTTATCTGCAGCACATCTCTAAGTCATAAATCCATATGATCAGATAGGGTAGACCAGAAATGCTCTGCTAATGTTGAAGTTTGTGTATAACTGACTGAGACTATTTATCTGACTTTATATGTTACATCATGGAATTGATTCAAATCCAGAGCTCAAATACATAATGTAAGTTTGAGAATGTAACGTAGTCACAGCCTCAAAGCTTAGTTATATAAAAAAATATTTCAGTAGTCAATTTTCATTGCTATTAGAATGGGCTTCTTGCAGATTTGTGAGAGAAAATCTAAAGCTATAGGCATTATCTGTACCACAGTTAGGGTGCATGAAGCAGAAGGTTTGTGTGTACACTTATGAAACCACAGTGTCCTCTTGGCATACACAGGCCTCCATTGTCTTTGGAGGATATTAAACACAGGCATCATGGGTAGACATATATACCGATTCTGATTTTATTTTAAAGTTCACTTGAATACTTTCCAGTTTTAAGACAACAAAGACCTGAGGCTGAAAATAGTAACAACAGGTTCTTAGCACCATTGACACACTGGGAAAAATTGTAAAAAATTCAGAATTAGCCAAGTGAAATTTATAAAGGGATTTATTTTATAGCAGTGTCCTTATGAACAAATTTACTCAGATTATAATTGTCAGCATTTAGAACACCAATAAAAATAGTGCTTTATGCTACAACAGTGGGCAGAGTTTCATTTTAGTAAATCAGGGAGGTGCAGCATTTTCATCTCAGCAAGTCATTCTAAAAACAAGGTCACTATGAAATCATTCTTTGAACAGACAGGTGGGAGAGAAATCTAAAATTTCCTTAAATCCTTTAAGGATTTTAACTGGCATGTGATAAAGATATAGTTAGGTTCTCAAGTACAATAATTTTGAGTGAAATTGAAAAGTAACATTTTCTCTAGTTAAATGCTTCAGGTCTGTGATTGGCTCAGTTTCTTAATCTTCCATAATGGATATTAAACCGAAACAAAAATAAAGACAGAATTATTGTTAACTCACTAATATGATGATAATTGATTTTACATGGACCATGCCAAGGATATTAAATTTAAAAAAACAAAAAAAAAGTAAAAAAGAAAGCAAAGTAATGAATGCTAAAAGTTTCTCTTAAACTAAAAAAGCCCCACCAAACCTATGGAAAAAGTTGGTGTTTTTTTTCCCCTCTAATGAAATGAGCTCTTTACATATAAATTATATTGTAATAACAGAGCTCCCTGGTGGAAAAGAGTTCCTTCTCCTGCTGGCAAAAATTAAGATAATCACAGATGGCTAATGATCAAAAATACTGACTGACAGCTCTGAAGTACAAGGCATAGATAATATTCTCAGAGCTAGAGTTTATTTATACTCAGAACTGGCTTTAGGCACCCACAAAATGTGCATTTGTGATGTCCTATTACAATGGAGATTTTTTAGCCACCAATCCCTGTTGCCAAGGTTTTTCCTTAAGACTAAACTGATCTCCATTATTTTTGCACCAAAATACTTGTGTGTCAGCATACCTGTTATTTGAAACAATCTGTAACTAGCTGCATTTTTTTAAACATGTAGACTATTACTTTTAGTAGCATTATAATTAAAATGTACATTTTGAGTTCTTAGAAATACTGTATTATACTTCAGGGTTTATATACTGGAGAAGTCAGTGAGGGCAAAGAAACTCATTATTTTCTTGAATTTGAATGATGGTGTACAAAGTGTCTGGTTTCTTTGGTAGTGCTCAAAAACCCTATAAGGAATTTGGTCTTGCTCTCACTTATCTTAGATGAATTTTTACCTGATTCAGCCAGGAGGTGGATGAGCTGAAAGGTAATTCTAGTTTTCTCAAATGTTTCTTATTTATAATTTCATGGCTCCTTTAAAAACTTTGCTGAACATTTTGTGGAGTAGAAACCTATCTTTAATTTCAAAGCACTGACTGTGTTTTAGGCTTGTGATTGTTATAGCCCTTCAGTACACATCCAACATAATATCAAATGTTTTCTAATAGAATGTCTGCCCTATTGAAATATAATTTTTAGCTCCTGGAACGTAGATGAAAACCTGGAAAGATATTCCAGACCTGTTTAAAAGGTTTCCTAATAAGAATGCCAATTTTAAGTACTCCCCAAATATTACCAACTGTCTATTAGCAACATTTCCCATGAAATATTATGTAGTAATGGATATCTGAAGAAGTTTCTACTCCTTTACCCATTTAACTTTCAGGTACATATTGAGAGGATGACACAAAAAAGAGCAAAGTTCATTGAACTTTGCAATTGATTTTTTTTTAACTTCAGCAACAAGGAGAGAGGGAGAGAGAGAGAGAGATGCTACTTAGGAAATGCTACACAAAATTACATGCCACTGCAGAATGAAATTTTCAAAATCCAAAACTGTAGGAAAACCTACAGTCAGAATTTGCACTTACTTAGACTGTGCAGTTCATCTTCACAAGCAGCATAAACAAGGTTTCATTAATCACAGAGTTTCCGGAATTGTTTAATAAACCACCTGATTTTCAACTAAGTGTGATTTTTGGACATAGGCTAATGATTTTTGTGCTGACAGCAATAACCTTGCTGATGTGTTGCACAGTCTCAGACTTTAATATAGGTTCACATCCTTTTCATTCAAGTATCTGACTGGACCCCTGCTACAAGAGCTGGAAGCCCTGGGTGTAAGGAGCACCTGTATATCAATGCAGATCCTATTATGCCAGAACAGTGTAAATTTTACAATGGCAGGCATGTAGCTGGAATAGTAAGTAATACAAACCTTTCCCCATTTTTGTAGCAATGCTGAACTTCATCCCAACTGAAATGATTTCAGCAAGTTATTTCATCTAAACATGTGTAATTCCTAGCTAAATCTGTGACTTACTAGCATTCTAGCAGCAACAAATGCATCAAAAATTTCTTCTTAGGTTAAAAACTGGTATACAGTGTTACACATCTCAGAAGTAAGTCATAAAAAAAGGAGAGAGAAAGAGAGTGATTGAGAGAAATGCTATTTTTTGTTAAATGAAAGAGGTGTTAGGAGCAACACAGGCTTCAGAAAACAGGACTTTTTAAGAGCATATATTCATTTTACCTCTTTTGAAACCCAGTTACAGCTAAGTGAACCATCACAACTAAACTATTTCACTGAACAACAATAAACCAAAACGAGTAGAAGTACTAAAAGCACGCCTGAGGCAACAGAAACTTTGGTGCTAATTTCCATCTCTTTCAAGTGCATTTGATGAATGATGTGACAAAAGAATCCTAATTAAAGTTGAAATCCTGAATACTAAATAAATTAGAAGTGCCACTACATTCATCTTGTACAATGATAATACTGCTACTTCTCCTCCTTCTCTGTGCCCCTTTGCTTACATCTGCGGCACTAACTCAGCAAAGGGCACTGCCAGCACAGATGGGGAAATGGATACTCTTCCCCAAACAGAGAGATAATGGGACAGGCTGCTTTGTTTCCCTTCACTGCCTTCAATTTACACAAAGACAGCCTACCAGGAGCATTCAAAGTATTTTTAGGTATATATTTTTCCTCTCAAATTATTTAAAACTTGACAAGCGACACTACACTATCTGGTCTTTCTTTAGTAGCCCTAGAAAAGTGTTTATGGCCATTAAATTTTTATTCCTTTTATTACTGGAGAATCATTAAGTATATATATACTTGGAGTAATATATAATCCTAATGGGTTGGAAAGCAACACTGAAGAGATGAAATTCTATGGCTTGTGTCACACAAGCCAGGCAAGACAATCATAAATGACCTTAAAATCTATGAATCTTTCAAGGAGCTGCCCCATTCAATAAGCAGACTGGAACATGAATTATGACTCCCGAGAGACATCCTTTCCCTGCTCCCCTTTTGTTCCAGGGAGCAACTCTGAAATACTTCAGGAAGAGTTTATATCCCCAGTGTGCCCAAGCAGTAGGCTTGTCTTTTTCCACTCCTTAGAGAAAGAGGGCTGTCAGGGGAGGAGGCCCTTCTATTCCCACCACAAGTTCACTCAAAATCTGCCAATGCCAACAAAAGTGGTGCTTCAGTGTCTCCAAATCCCATCTGTACTGTCTAAGGCCAGTGACACGAGAAGTTCCAATCAGGAACTCAAAGAGAGCCATGTAGTCCAATCTCTCAACTGTGTCAGTGACTAAAATATTGCCTGCCTGTTAGAAAAAAATGTAAGAACATAATAAACATGTAATGATACATCTCCAAATTTTTCTCCCAGCTCACAGCAATTTATAGAAAATTCTGATTCAAATTTTATACATTTGTATTTAATGTCTCATGATGTTCTGCGCATGCACAGAACACACATGACTGCCATGGTTAAACATTTCAGCTCTCAACTGTGTAGGTCACACAACACCAAGTGTCTTCTTTAATCTTCTTGCAGTGATATCACACTTCTTGTCTCTTCTTAAACAATGTCGTTTTCTTTGTATTTTCTAAATTACAAAAATCCCCCACTTTAATTTGAGGTTTTAAACAAGTTTTTATATGAAATTCTTTTTTTTCAAGAGGAAATGAAAGACAGAATTACCTTAATGAAAAAGATTGCTTGCTTGTATCTGATGTATTTTAAGACCTGATTTTACACCTAATCTAGCTCATGACATTCTAATGGACTACATTTTTTTTAAGTACTGTGAATGAAAATGCAGCTTGTATATAATTTCCAGAATTCTTGTCAGTATGTGAATTTTGCAGCCCTAATTTTCAGCTATGAATTTTGGACTGATGTTTTAGAAAGGATACTTCTTGATCTGAACTGTAATAGTGATCATTTCAGTGATCAGAGTGGATTGTAGGGCTTATTCTATATAGGTAACTATATATAGGTTTAATAAACTGCCTAAATAGGAGAGACATGCTGAGATACATATTGTGTGATATTATTTATGAAAGTGCCTATCTTGCACATGAACAATTTAATATTTGCAGCACCAGCTCTTGAATTTTACCTCTGCATTCTGCTACTAACAGTAAAATATCTTGTTTCCAATATAACTCAAGATAAAGAGAATTGTCAATCCATCTTTAAAAATGCACAGGATAACTAATTACCTTACTAATTCTCTCTCAAACAAACACCCTGTGATACAAGTATGCAACTTGGATTTTCCTCTATGCAAACCCCAGTTTGGCAGGTAAATATCAGACTTTTATTTTCTCCTGGGTTTTTGAATGACTTTATATGTATGTTTTAGGGTGCTGGTCAAGGATAAAGAAGACAAGCAATAAATATTTGAATAATAAATGGTTGGAACTTGAGAGCTTAGTAATTGACATGTCTGCTTTGTAACAAAAATACGAACTGAAGCAGGACAGACTTCTCTAAACTAAGGCAAGAAATTAACTTGGAAATTTAACTTGTCTTTTATCATATGAGTCACTGCAAGCTTTCCTTGCTTAGGGATAGACTAGGTTGTATTTGGGCTTCACCATCACTTTGACTTCATTATCACTGACCTTGATCCTTTCTGCCACTGTCTGCTCTGATCCCTGGGGATTAACTGCTCAAAGGTTATTGACTTACATACGTTGTCATCTCTGAATTCTTAATAATTGATTGTCAAAGCACTTTTGCACCATGCACCTTGCTTTTTTTTGGCAGAACAAGTGCCCTTTCTTAGCTCAGTGTTCGGCTACTCTTCTTTGGGGTATGTGAATGTCAACTGGCGTGACAAGGCATAAAAATACAATATTGTCAGTAATGACCCAGTTGGTAGCCATCAGAACACTTGGCTAAAAAGTCAGAGAAAGGTTTCCAAATTCTTATGCTGTTTCTTTGTGGTGGTTTTTTGAATTTTTTTCCCTGGGACTATGGAAAAGTGCAGCAGAAACTATTGTTATTAAGAGAAGTCTAGATTTGACTCAGGTATTAAAAGGTAAGCATCCTCTTCAAGAACTAGAGAAGAAAAAGTTATTCTGTTCAATATTTCCAAACTGTCAAACGATCTGAAATGAATTGTAAAACTACTAATGAGCCAAAAAAAAAAAAAAAGAAAACTTTTGTTAAGTTTGGAAGTTAGAAAGTTATGTCAGGCTGGCAGGTTTGACAAAGTCTCAGTGAAAATTATGATTAGGTTTGTTGGCTGGGTTTGAGAATTTTGTTTTTTCTTTTTCTAATTTTTAAACTGTCCTATCTTCAGTGGTTTAACTGAAGAATTGTTCATGTTAGTGAAGACCAGATTACATAAAACTTGTGGCCTTGTATGTTGATTAAGCTTAGAAAATAAGGTTAACTGGACACAACAATTTGTTAAATTTGTTGCACTCACCAGAAAGGTAAGAACTGGTTTCTTAACTCAAGTGTTTTTTTTCAAGAAGCTTAGTCTCAGAGACATAAAGAAACATCCTTTTGTTACTAGATAAGTTTTCTGGAGTTGTAAAGTGTTATTGCCACCGTAAGATGAATCTGTAATGTATTAAACAGAGTAAAATGTTCCTGTTGTGTAATGCTTCCCTATCTCTCTAAAGGTTTAGAACTTCTTTTATCACAACAGGGGTAAATTTGGATCTTTTATCAATTTGTTCAAAAAAGCATTCCATTTAAATAAGATGTCTGGAACCGTAGTCTATGGAGATAATCAGTATCTTATTAACCTTAATCATAACAACACATTATCACTATTTGGTTTCATGTTGACTAATTTGCAGAACAATGGGGAAGAGCACACTCAGCACATAAGACTGTTCCTAGTTCTTGGCACTGCATAAATACAGTGACCCTCACTTGAAATGTCAGAGACTTAAGAAAAAGCTGTATCATATGATGAAGGAAGAGAGTCAGGGAAAAGAGGATCATGTAATCAGAGAGTTAGTTAAAAAGTAAACACTTGTTAAACCTCTGGACAAAGTGAGACCATCATCAAACAGATACCAAGAGCACAGAATAAAGGTCAGTTACCTTTTATCATGTTTGTGTAGCTTCAGTTAAACTAACAAGCAGCAGCATGTGCTTAGGGTCATAGTTAAACACTTTTGCCTTGATAAATGAGCTGTGTATTAGGTGCTTCCCTTTCAAGAGCATGGCCATATTGGAACTCTGATCTACAAAAAAAAAAGACATCAGAAAAGGAAGCAATTTACCTGGGGGCAGAAATCAGTCATTTCAGTTGGTAGAAAGAAATAGTAACTGTAAAATAATAAAATAATAATAAGTCAAAACAATAAAATGAAGCAGAAAAACCTCAAAAATAAAACAGATCACTTCAATTTTGGGGAATGAAATTGCAGGCTTTTTTGTTTCGAGATTTCTCAAAATCACCTAATACACTTTATCTTGAACTATTTCCGTGTTAAAGGTACATTTCTTCATAACTGCACACTTCTTGTGAAAACTCTAGTAATTGATCCTGATGATTTTACTATTTCATATGAACCACATACAAACCTACTGCTGAGGAAGAAATACAGCCATAAGCCTTACAAGAGATTTAGATGTCTCCATCCTCAGAGGAGAGACACCTTCTAAGACATTGCTATATAACATAGTGTATAGGCCATTGTATATAACAGTTTTACTGAGTTCATTCAAAATAGGAATTTTTGGGGGTATAAATTACTTAGATACTGTAAGACTACAATATTTTCAGTGGGAAAAAATTCTAGAACTGCAATATACATCTTAATAGCATTACAACAAAATATGTTACAGAAGTTTTAGGTTTTGTATTATGAAAATAACTTCTCTAAAAATGTTTACAAAAAAAATTTAGGTGACAACACCCCAAAATTCATTAGAACCAGTTTTACTACACTGAACTAGAAGAAACATGAAAATCTTCTGTCTTTTCACTGAATTATGCTATGCCACTATACCTCTTTAAATGTATACAGCAGCTTAATAATTACTGTGTCGCAGCATAGCAAGAGTGTCCTTTCATGATTTGCACTTCATAGAAAAATGTGAATGTGCAAACCTCAATTGGTCAGAGCATTCACACAGAATAAGATTCTACTACAGGCTAAACTTTTTAATGGTCACGGAATCACAGAATGGTTCAGGTCGGAATGGACCTTAAAGATCGTGAATTCCAACCTTCTTGCCATGAGCAGGAACATATTCCACTAGACCAGGTTGCTCAAAGTCCCATGTAGCCTTGAGCACTTCCAGGGGTGGCCATCCATCACTTCTCTGGGCAACCAGTTTTGGTGCTGCACCATGCTCATAGTGAAGAATTTCTTCCTCATGTCTAATCTAAACCTGCCCTCCTTCAGTTTAAAGCCGTTCCACTTGTCCTATAAGTACAGGTAATAAGTACCTCTCCAGCTTTCTCACAGACCCACTTGAGGCACTGGAAGGTGTCAGACTGTTCTCTTCACCAGATTGAACAACTCTCTCTCAGCCTGTCTTCATAGGAGAGGTGCTTCAGTCCTCTCATCATCCTCATGGCCCTCCTCTGGACTCACTTCAACAGATCCGCATCTTCTTACGCAGGGATGCCGCAGCTGGACAGTGCTCGGTTGGACCTCTTTCCAGGATAGAGAGAATGGTAGCAACATGCTTTGGTAACAGTTCAAAACCTGTTTGCTGTAAATCACAGTAGGATATCACTATCACTGTGGCAGTGGTGCTGCAGTCATGAATGCTAGAAGGTTATAACATTTTTTTTAGTAGATAAGTTTGTGAAGTGAAAAATAATATAGACCAACTCTTCTTCAGGTGTCATACAGAAACAGAAAGTCATAATATATTCAAAAGTTTCTATAAAAATGACAAGAAGCATTTGTTCTTCCTTCAGCACAAATTTGTTTTACTTTCCTTTTCTATTCTTATGTTCAACCATAGTAGCTGAACACATGAAAATTTCTCAAAATATCAAATCAGTTTGAAACTCTGTAGTCCACATTCTAATATTAGAAGAGTTTAAATTATAATGGAGAATATTTCACCAAGAATTATTTAGCACAGTGCATAATAATTTTCTAATGGATTTTTTAACAAAGAAGGAAGTAAAATAGGATGAGAGAGGTAAACATAGAGCAAAGCTAAGTACAGTGACCAAGGCTGATGAAGAAGGTAGAATCTGAGAACGCTTTCAACTATAAAGTTGAAATGAAGCCCCAGCCAGTAATTCTTGACCAAAATCATAATAATGAGGTTTGGGAGACACTGAGAATGAATTCAGCAAGACTTCATTATTTCAGTGATACAGATTCACAGTGCTGTAAATGAAATTATTGGTTTTTTTGTTTCATAAATGGTGAAGTTAATAAAGACTCTAAAAGCCAAAACTTCTCCACATTTTCCTGCTGGCAGCATAGCTCTCTGACAAACAGAATAACTGTGCTTTTTTCTGACATGTCATTGCCCTAGATCTCAATTTTGTGGTAAAGTATCTGAAAAAGATCTCTAGAAGTCTGGGTTCTAAATCTGCTATGTGCTAGACAGTAAATAACCCCAGTAATTCACACAGGCCATGGGATAGGATTGAAAGAAATGTCTCACACGTACTGTACACGAAACAATTCCACAAAATTTTGAGCTTATCCTGTATAAACAAGCTTGCAGATTTGGGATGCTGGAAGCAAATATCTGTGTATATATACATATCTTTATCTTCAAAATATTTATATATTTAATTTATATTGCTTATAAACAATCAGAGTCACATCTAAAACTGTATCTTCATTTCACAGCAACGATTAAATTTATAAAATAATTTGTAAAACTGAGTCTTACAAATTCAAGGGTTGTAATTTTACTGAAAAGAAGTCTGCTGAGAGGAGATTCCTCTGTTAATGTAAGTATGCTGGTCTGCTCTGAAATAATGCAGAAGATGTACCTGATTTTTGCATTATTCTAAGTAAATATTGCGCATAAAATACAATGACCATTGAGACTTCACCTTAGTGGCAAACAGTAAATATAAAAACTGGAATTAAATTTCTATGTGTTATTTGGTATCTTATGATAAACTATGGGAACACTTCAGTGTAAAAACAAAAGCTGATCTCTTCTCATATCCTGCTGCCTCTCAGTTCTTTATCACATTTTTCTTATGTAGCTGAATAGTATCAGTTCACAACATAAGACGCAACTTGCCTTCACTACATAAAGAGATAATATTTTTGTTCAGCATTTATGTTGATATTTTAAGTATCATACACATTGCTAAACAGTCACAAGATCAAATGTGCATGGCTTAGTTTCCATATAAAAATTAGAAGGTATTAATTTTATTACCACTCTGGCAACATATTTGAAAACATATTAATGAGTATTAATGTCATATGTTTAGCCAAAAGAATTCCTGAAGTCAGAGTGCTATTTTATCTGCTTTAAAGCTTTAGTAATAAGGAGTTTAATATATATTTTGATAAGTATTTTATATCTTGTTAGCTGATAGTTGGAGACAATTGATAAATCTCAATCTGTATACTGTGTATACAGAAATTATGCTGTATTTTGGTAAAACAGAAAGGCTGATGAAAAAAGGGACTGAATTCCAATAGAGTCTACCAAAAATATCCAGACAAACACAGAAATATTATTTGACTGAAGAATTTTCCAGTCGTCAAGATAAAAATTCCTGAGTTTTTATTTGGTTTCTTTTAAGAAATTCCAAGACCTTTGGGTAATTATTACATAGAAATCAATATGAAACTATTTAGGTTTCCTTTAACAAAATATTTCACGTTTTTTCCTTTCAATTTTTTCAGTCCCCTAAGAGACTGAATTCATCAAGGAATTAGATGAGAAATGGAAGTTCCTGTTTTAGAAAACAGAATGGCAGCTAGACAACAGAAAACAGATGCCAATTATTTGCCAGTGTCTGCAGTAAAACAAAACATTTCATGACATTTACTTTGCCTTAGCAAGGCGGCCGTTGATGTCAGTCAGCAGGTTCAGAAAAGAGAGTCCATATGATCTAGGACTGAAGAAAAATTCTTACACTTTGGTAAAGATGACAAGATGAAAAATACATGGTACTTTTTATAGAGTCAGCTATAATAGCACAATCTGGAATAATGCTCTCTTACACTGTAAGATCAGAGTTGCTTAATAAATTAACTGAAAACAGAATTTGCACTTCTTGGACTTAAAAGCCACATGATAGGATTTCTTTTGTCACACATTGAACAGGAAAGAATTCAAGCTGTGCAATAGAAAATAAGATCTTTCGTCAGCACATTAGCTATTTTTATTTGCCCTGAGCATGCATTTGTAAAATGGGCTAGTCTTCACTCTATACCACCCAAGGAATACAGAAGCTACTGCCATGCTGCTTACCTGTAACACACAAAATCATCGTGGTATATATTAATGATAACAAGTCAGGCCAGTAGTAAATAATTCTGTTAATCTTGGAGCTAGGGCGAGGGTCAAAACTTTCAGTTTGGATTTGTAACATTTTTTGGTGAAGCAAGCACCCTAATTAGATGTTATACTGACAAAACATGGTATGCTGTTTGTGGTTTACCTATATAGCAACATGAACTGTATAGATAAAATGCTGACTGGGGATAGAAGTTTTACTCCTATGAGGAAATGATGTCTGAATCATTCTTCCAGACAGATCTTTCTTGCACCAACTAAGTCTTAGATTAAAGGCCAAGAATGTCCACCCGAACAAGCACCTTGAAGAACTATGCTGGCAATGGAAGATAATGCAGCTGAATGGTTACTTTTTGTGCAGGGCAATATATACAACACAAAAATGCATTAGAATCCACAAGGGGGGAAAAAATGCAGCATTTACATCTGGTTCTTTAAAATAATTACAGAACACAATACCATCCTTTCATATGGGAACATCTGCTACCTGTAATATCTGTAATATCTCGTGTTCTTCCCTGACTGGAGGGCTCAGTAGAGCAGTGCAGCCAGTGGAGGTCCAAGCATGTTTAGTTATAGAGGGGCAGTTACATGACAACTACCAAACAGTATCCTTCACATCAGTCCTCCTGGCCTGACTCAAGAAAGAGATGTCTGTAAAGGCCTTTCTAACCACGTTGTCTGTCTTCAGTTCAGCTTGTGTTTTTGCAGTCTTTCATTACTGTGGGCCTACAACCACTCTGTCAGTGATACCACTTACAGCCTCGCTCCATCTGCATTTTCTTTACATTCCTCCCCCTGAAATACTGATAACTTTAAAGTTTAATGACATCAACCACCTCTCCAAGAGAGTACCAGATGATAAGAATAAATCACCAAGTCTCATTCAAAAAACTGTTAGCACAAAATTCTGGCACTCACACAAATACAAAATGTAAATACTGTTTTGGTGGCTGTGCTTCTGAGAGATTAAGTGGAGATAGGTGCCTGTGAGATTTTAGCAGGGTTTTCTCAGGGTCAGTACATATTATGAAATGAATCACAGCACACAGAACAAAATAGGTGAACAATACAGCTCCCAGATGACATCACTGCAGCACAGAGCCCAAATTTTCTTAGTAGTTTTTCACACAGTCAACATTTTCTGCAGTTTTAATTCACTATTTAATTTTTGTACATAGTTACTAAAGTCTGCAAAATATACTTACTTTCTGGAGATTTTTTCTCTGAATGTACCTGCTTTGCCAAAATAATAATAATAATAATAATAATCATCATCATCATCCTCATCCTCATCCTCATCCTCATCATCGTTATCATCACAGACATTCGCATTAATATTTTCTGTAAATGGAATTTATAAACTCAATAATATTGACATTTCTGGCAAAAAAAATCACCTCAGCATGTGAGGCATGTTGAAATACGACTTGACTTAGAACAGAACTTTTTGTTAAAAAAAAAAAAAGGTGGCTTTTCTATAGTCAAGTATTCCCCCTATAAAGAATCCACCTTCACTTAGCACATTTCTTTCAAATTAAGCAAGGGCTAAGCAAGACTGACTCATCTTCCTCAGATGATGAGCCAGCATGCTGAGGAAGTGGGGCTGAGAGGTGGCAAATGACTTAATGATGTCATGGGGAACATACTGCTGTGGCCCAATAGCACATCCTTTACTCCTGTGAATAGTTCCACTGATTTCAGGTGAGTAGTCCTGCAGGATTAAGGCACTGATTCATAAATGTTTCAAAACAAGGCTGAAGCCCCAGTCATATTTTAAGTCTCAAAGACAGAGTAGTTTCTGTCTAACCTAATAGATCAGAACCTCCACTTGCTCATTAGCTGAGGACCTCTGCCCTCCTTATTAGGCCCAATTTTCTCAGATGAACTGTCAGATGGAATCTGCTGCAAGTGTACACAGGACAAATTCCATGTCATTAATGGAACAGGTGTTTAATGATTTTGGATGCATCAAGTTTACCCAGCTTCTTAAAAGATCTCTTCTCATGTGTAATAGTGGCTGCAACACCAGGGATTATTTTCTGAAAAGGTTGGCACTTCCTAGTCTATCAAACCATCAGCTTTATGTGCTTGCCTGTTGAATTTATTTTAAATAATACATTTTAAAATCCTGAGGTTAAGGAACTAAACAGTGTTTAGGATTGTTATTGCTAGCACTTATGAGGCAGTACTTCAGCCCCCACTGAAATCAGTAGGATCTTTAAATATGTAAGGCCACAAAGAACTTATGATTAATTAACTGTAATATGAAAAATTCACACAAGAAATATTATATTTGCTTTAGAAGCTTTATTTTGAATAAAACTTCATAAGTCAAAAATGTTTGAAATTGTGGATATCTAAAATTAACATTTTCTTTGTCTATACAAGTATGTACAGATTCAAAATCAAGCTTTTATCAAAGTGAAAACCATGCATTTGACTGAAGTTGCTTAAGACAGACTGGATATTGGACTTTAGGACACTTTATTCCCTGATTCTATCCAAGCCACCTTATTTACCATAGTGGAATAAAAGTGAAAGACTTTAGCAGAATGAGCATATCAAGTTACATGGCACCTTCCTAGAAAGGAGCAGGAAGATGAAAGAAAGGTTCCTACACCAGGATGGGAAAAAACTTATTTTGAAAAAACTTCCACATGAAAACCTAGATAAAAAGAATAAGAGATTTTCTAAGCAAAATTAGGTCAACTGCATTTTAAACACTAAATCTCACTCAAACAAGAATGAAGAGTTGTCATGTTTCTGTTACAGCTACTAATCTCTAATTTTATTCAGGCTTTTGTATTAGTGTGAAGGATCTTTGCTGTCAAGAGCAAGTGCATCCATATTAAGAATCCCAGCAAACTTAGACCAAAAGAACAACTTTATCTTTTTGATGGAGACTTTTTTTGTACTTTAATATTCTGTCAAATTCAAATTAGAGTTCATTCAGAATAATATTAAACATGTGCTCTCTGTGCAAGGAAATTTTTGACTATGAGTTGAGAAACAATGTTTTTAACAGGACACTGTCCAGGTACAGACAGAAGTCCTGAAGGAAGCTATTAAGATTGCACACCAGTGAAGAGAAAAGCACAGCCATCTCCCAGCAGCTTCTTGCAAAGCCTTGCTTCTTAACACAAGCTGCTAATGGTCTATTAGCCAAGTGACTTTGGCCATGAGTAACTGAGGTGTCCCAGACGTTTTCTGATGCACCAGATTTCCTATGGGGGCAGCCAGAGACGTCAAGAGTATTTCAGCAATCACAGCTGAAATCACTGATATTTGTTTGCCAACAACTAATCAGTTGGTTCAAGAAAACACTTTACTGGATTTCTAATAGGGGTTAACCTCCACAGAGGCTAAATAACATTTTAGACAATCTAGGACTTTTGACACTTGCCCACAATAATGGCAAGATTTAACATGAAAGAGAGATAAAATTCCACTGTAAACCGATGTTTAAGTATCTTAAATCTCTATCTCTGCACAAGCCAAATAGAGTAGGGAGGAATCTAGTGGGCTGGGTGGTAGATATATTCTCAGGCATCAAGTTATACCAGTGACACGTTTTCTCAGGCCTTTCTCTCTTTCATAATGAAAGAATTGTTTTAATAGTAAGACAGTCATCACTTTTGCTCCTAATGCATCTCTTTAACAAACTTAACATGACTATATGGCCCCACTATGGAGGACTGGACAGTCTCCTATTCTCCTCTCGAAAATGTTTAGTCTGTATACTTGCCTTCTGACTTTGATTTCATAGTGGAGCTGGAGTTTGTAGGTGAAATAGTTGATATATGATTGTATACTGTATCATCATTCTTTGAGCTTCCCACATCACCAGCAGCAAAGGAATTGGGAATATCTGATTAAACTAATTAGGAGTCAGTATGATTTGCCACCCACAAGCAGTTCTGCATAGCTGCCACCTCCTGTTGCAATTCCAGCTCATCAGGACTGGAAATCCCTTGCAGCAAAAGAAATGCATCTGCAAGAGGCAGCTATACCATGTGGATTCTGAACCTTGGTAGATGTGAGAAGGTCATGGTTAATAACATTCACATTTAGAAGATCTGTCAAAGTGGTGGCAACTAGATCCCACATATTCCCACATATCAGCTCCTCTGACATCCTAATTTAATAGAAACTGTGAGACTATATATCTAAATTTTCAGTGTAGAAAAATGTTGCCCTAGGTTGACCCCATCTGAATTTGGCAAGGTCTGGGCACAGCAAGACACTTTTGTGGGAGGCAGCCCCAAAGCTGAGCTGACAATGAAACAGAAGCTGTCAGTTCCCATGTGGATTTTGGGTGTTATTTCTCTCCTCAAAGGTAACATTCTGCCTCAAAGAGGCTCCCACAAAGTTCTGAATGCAGATCCTGGCCTTTTCATGAAGCCTGGACCCTTGTTACACTGGCATATTGAATTGTCTGATAGCAGGAATTGTTTCTTCCCAGCAAATCAAGAACTTGCCTCTGTGAAAGGCAGTAGTTTCCAGCCTTCCTCACCCTACCATGAAGGCAGCCCTGAAGTCACAGGGCAACCTGTGACAGGCAGAGGACCACCTTCTGTATGAACTCAGTGGAAGCAGAGATCTTTCCTGTTTAAAAACGGTGTTCAACTTGCCTCCTCACAGAGCAAAGGGCTGCTTTGAAACCATTCTCTTACATTGTCATTACCGTTGAGTTTTTTTCCTTGCTTATAGAGAAACAGGAGACAGGTTTCTTGTGCTGATACTAATTACATCAGTGTGAAAAAGATTCCTACTCACAGCAGAGTACTTTTGAATATGGAAAAAATAAAATATATTTTTTCGAATACAGATGGTCAGCTTATGTTGTCCCTTTTCACCCGATCATTACCATCCTCACCCAAAGAAGAATATTCTTCCCCATTTTTCATACTGATCATAGCCATCCTCACTGAAATTTGTCTTTAGAAGACTAAGTATTCTGCTCTTTCCTTTCTTATTTTTCCAGCTCTAAACTAAACCTTGTTTCACCAAATGTATTGGCTATGGTTTGGCAGCTGCAATATTTTTTATTTCAGGACTCACAGCAAATTAAAAAAAGTTTATATTTCATATTTACCTTTCTAAATCAAATTTTATCCCTCCTTTCTTAAACAAGAACACATTTTCCCTGAATTTTCCTTTGTCAGATGAAATATCACTGATTCTAATTGTAGGCCAAACACAAAGTTTTCACTCACTGTCTTGTGAATTAGGGTAGAAAAGCGACAACACCTCATATGTTTGTCATGGTGCTTGATCCTTGCTTGAAATAGGAAATCTTTTCCAAAATATCTATTAATAAGAGATCAGCATCATCTCTCTGGCACCTTTCATGAGCAGTAAGTTGTATGTGAAGGAGGAGAAAAAAGAAGCCTCAATTGAAAGGAATAACTGAACAATCCCATTTGTAATTTTCCCGGCATTACTATTAGAGTTTGCCAGTCTGGGGGCTGGAAGGAATGCAGCAGTTGCTTCCTCATCCCTTCTAGTATGGCACTGAACAGACTTTTCTTTTAACTATGGCACTGATATTAAGAAACAAGTTGAGAGATCCCTTTTGTCATATCCCCTCGATGCCAGCGTTTTATTTATAGTTGTCTTCTATGCCAGTGTTTTATTTATGGTATTAAATATATAAAGAGATTATAATGCAGCAAAAAAGGCTGTTATGGAAAAACAGATGCTGTTTTGTCCGAGAGCCATGCTTATGAACAAGGCCACCTGGCTTTACACACACTGACTTTGAACCACAGACAGAACAGGGACCTTTTCTTTTTCATTATTCAATCAGCTATTTTATCTGTGTCCTACAATGGTGTATAAAATACAGGACATTTCTTTCTAAGAATTAACATGAATTAAATCTTATCTTTTAGGAGAGAACAGTGTTCTGAGTTTTGTTTTGAAAACAGGCCTGTGAACGTTTTTGCTGCCTGGAAGTACATTAGTATCAAACAAAGCATTTATCCCACAACTTATTATGTAACCATTGTAAATAATATATAAATACTTCAACTTCATCTTAGCTTAGCACTTCTTTTAGTACTGAACTCATTTTATTAGGGTTTTTTATTGCAATTGTTAGTAAATCAATGCCTACCTTCT